AACACAGAATATACGTAATATTGTTATATTGAGTGCACATGCAGCGTGTTTGAATGTCCGATTGTGACTAAAGCGAATTATGGTCATGCACCACAATTTAAGCGGATCACTCTTGAGCGCGCTTCTTTACCTACTCTTATTTTATTGCCATATTTATTTTGATTCCATCAGGTCTAGTTTTCGAGTTACAGCTACTAGGTACCCACAAAATTAAAAAATAACCGTTTTTGTTTCACTTTCGCATTCAGAGAATTTATTTATTTGAAAAGCGTAGTGGTATGTTCTGTTTTTAGAGTTAAGTGATTTTTATATAACGTGAAGAAAGTGTAAAAATGATCCCGACAGGTTTTGTTACATTTGTGGTGACATTACTTTCAAAACTCAGCGAAGGAATTTGACACCATTAGTAACTAAGTTATATGAACAGAATTTTGGCTTTGCCATCGGACAACAAGAAAAAGCGTGGGTTCCACACATCTGTTGTGTTAGATGTGTGGGTCTTCTCACTGGATGAGCGAAAAGAACTCAATCTATGCCTTTTGCAATTTCTATGATTTAGACAAAACCAACGAAGTACTCATCTGATTGTTATTTTTGTCTTACTGATACAAAAGGTATTACAATTAAAACAAAAAATATTAAAAACCCTCCATAGGTGTAACGTGGGAATGTATTTTTACCACCATTACACATAAAGCTTGGGCATATGAAGTACTTCGTGAAAGCTATGGACAGGAGTAGTGACGGCTCTTTATATATGAAAGGAAAAAATAGAAGCAAAAATTAAAGAGGGCATATTTGTCGGCCCATCAAATCAGGCAATTGATGAAAGATGATATATTTAAAGAAAAGCTTAGTAATTTAGAAAAATCAGCTTGGGAATCTTTCATGAAAGTAACTTCCAATTTTCTAGGAAATCACCGATCAAGTGACTATAAATGTGTTATCGCGGAGCTTTGTTCTACGTATAAGGCTTTGGGCTGTAATTTGTCACTAAAAATACATTTTCTTCTTTCACGTTTACACTTCTTTCCTGATAATTTGGGCGCTGTCAACGATGAACACGGTGAGGGATTCCATCAAGACATTTCTACCATAGAAAAACGAAATCAGGGCAAGTGGAGCACACGTATGTTAGCGGATTACTGTCGGACATTAAAACGAGACGTTCCTGAAGCAATATACAGACGACAATCTTATAAGTAAATTCATATTAATGATGCAATAAATCAAAATAACTTCTTTTTTTGCTAAAAATTCAAAATTTCTAAAATGTTATAAAATGGTATTACAAAAAGACTATTCTATATTTAAAGCGTTCTAATTTTATTTCTAGTATCCTTATCCTTGTCGTAAACATAACTAGGCAAAAATTTTTATGTTACATGCAAAAGTTGTTTTTTTGTTGACTAATTATAATTAGTAACTAATCACAATTAGTCTCTAAATATAATATTAAAGGTATTTGTTTAATATGAGAGTGACAAGACTAAAACCTAAGGCAACGGAGGAAGCCGCCGGCGCCGCTGCACAGGCTTGGCGCCTTCTTTTAGCCCAATGATTAGTCCGCAGGTGTATTCGAGGACCGCAGAATTGATCGTCTTGCAAACCGCGTGTTTAAGCCACAGGTTTAAGCAGAAAGTGGGTCTACCAGCACTATGAACGCCGCAGAACCAGACACCCGATCAAAGAGAAGGAACTTCAGAGCCTACAAAAGAGACAAAACAATTTGCCACGCTATACCAACCACCTGAGCTTAATTCTTGGCTGGCTGACCCACACAGACACCCTTGGGGACGTCCGTACCAGTTAGTCAGAAATTGGCCTAAGCACCAGGTACCCGCCATACGGTCGATTGACCCTTATCTTCTCTCTCGAATTGTTTCAACGCTCTTCGGGCCTGACGAAGGGAACTTTACCGCGCTCTGCTCTACAAGTTTTTGCATTTGGAGCGAGGGGAGTTTCCCAGATGTTAGAAGAATGAAGAGCGTCCTGCTGACTCTCTAATAGCATACCGCTCGGTGGTGGTGATGGACAAGGTAGGCGTAATATTCGAGAAAATATTGGCGGACATTACCCTCGCTATATGTCTATGAAGTAGCAGTATTCGTTTTCTGAAATGACTCTCGTTACGCTACGTTTTCACAAAGTAACTGGAATAGAAGCCACCGCAATGACAGTAAGATATGCGCTCTACAATCAATGTAAAACGAGAAACGTGAACAGTAGTTTTGTCGGAATGGCTTCCAAAATCTTTAACAGAATTCCTGACAGTCTGACACACTTAAGTCTTTACCATTAAAATTATTTTAAAAGCTTCTCTTGGAATTACTTATTATTAAGGCAAATTATTCAGTACAGGAATTCTTAGATGACAAATGAAAAAAGATATTAATATAGTATTTTCTTCTAATAGTTATGACATTTTTGTTTAATATGTACTGACATGAATTAAATTCATTATTGTTTCTGATTATTAATATTGATTTATGAAGGTACCTAGTAATTATATAATTACTAATATGACAATTTGTTAAATAAATTTTAGTGACCAGATATTGTAATAAGAATAAGGCATATTATTCAGTGCAGGAATTCATAAAAGACAAATCATTAAAATAAATGACATTGTTATAAAGTATATTCTTCTACTATGACACAAAGACTTTATATAATACCCTATGACATTAATTGAAATAATGACTGACATGATTATAATTAACTTTTGTATTGTTTTTGATTATTATTATTGATCTCTGTACATTTTTTTTAATTACTTAGATGACAATTTGTTTGTAAATGATAAGTGATAATGTATATATAAATGATATAATAATATCGACTTAATATTATTTAAATAAAACTAGTTTTTACGGGTTAATGCACGAAACTTTATTTATTTATTGACGTTTCGCAGCCTTTTCAGGTCTGCATCGTCAGAATAATGATTTTATTTAAAATTGTCGAGCTACCTTCGAAAGAATTATATTGTGCGTTCGGTTATTTCATTGGAAGATTTTTAAAATTTTTTATTGTCTATGTATGAATTTATTATTTAATTTACTTAATAAAGTATTTTATTTAAAATTCTTGTTTGTAATTTTGAGTTTATTTATTTGACCCTAACTACCGTAAACTACCACCGGTTCCAAAATTGGGAGACCTTCCTGAGAAGAACCGGCGAAACAAACTCAAGAGAGGCTTTTTATCTCCTTCTTATGTTAAATTATGCAAACAAAAAGAACTAATAGTATCTGATGGTCTTGCAGTGTGTGCTCGGGGTTGGGATTTTATCTCCTGTATAATAGGTTCCCAAGCTGGTGGTATATACCAACCATCTTCCCTATTGAAATTTGGATATTTTTTAATCTCAATAGCCTCGCGCATCATTCGAGGAACGAACCGCCGCTCAGCTGCAAGGATCTGTGGTCTATCAAATCTAATGTAGTGGTTTGGTCCCCCTAATGCATGTTTGCAGTTTACGGTAGTTAGGGTCAAATAAATAAACTCAAAATTACAAACAAGAATTTTAAATAAAATACTTTATTAAGTAAATTAAATAATAAATTCATACATAGACAATAAAAAAAAAAAAATTTTAAAAATCTTCCAATGAAATAACCGAACGCACAATATAATTCTTTCGAAGGTAGCTCGACAATTTTAAATAAAATCATTATTCTGACGATGCAGACCTGAAAAGGCTGCGAAACGTCAATAAATAAATAAAGTTTCGTGCATTAACCCGTAAAAACTAGTTTTATTTAATGAGTGATGTGCGTGAAAACCTAAGAAACAAATATGTTAATATTATTTGTATAACTTGGAAAAAGATGAAAATGAAGTGATATATAAATTATTAAATTAACTGTAACACCTTTAATTTAACCTACTAACCTTCATTTTACTAATAAATAATCATATTCTGATTCCGACCGTATTCTCCAGCACCTGGATACAGTGGGTCCAAACCTGTCAAACAGTTTGAGTTTAGGAAGGAGCGTCCAACGATTGATGTAATCCAAGCTCCGCCGAGAATCGCATAGATAGAGCAACTCAGAGAGGGGAGGTGTTGATGACGGTTTTGTCCTTGGACCACTCCTGTGGAAGCTGGGTTACTGGGTGTTTCGCGGAGCCCTGCCCAGCTCTCCAGACGGGACCCGCATCACACACCGAGATCGTATCTTTATAGAATTAGGCGCTTAGCTGATGTGAGATTCAGCGAGCACTTCAAGTAGTACTACTTCATAGTAACGGACACAGCGCGGATTGGTGGGTGATAACGGACCCAGTGCGGACTGGTGGATGATAACGAACCCAGCGCGGATTGGTAGATGACAATGGACCCAGTGAAGATTGGTGGGTGATAACGGACCCAGTGCGGATTGATAGATGATAACGGACCCAGCGCGGATTGGTGCATGATAACGGGCACAGTCCGGATTGGTGGATGATAACGGACCCAGCGCGGATTGGTGGGTGATAACGGACCTAGTGCAGACTGATGGATGATAATGGACCCAGCGCGGATTGGTGGGTGATACCCGACCCAGCGCGGATTGGTGCGTGATAATGGACTCAGTGCGGATTGGAGGGTCATAATAACGGTCATAATTAGTTTTAATTACTTTTCACACCACACGTCGCCCGGACCATGTCAAATATGACCACTTATGGTTCGATGTTCCGATCCAGCGTTTATTACTGATAACAGAATCATCTGAATTTTTTAAAATGATATTTCGGCCTCTGCTGAAATATAACTTACCAATATAAACACGTATTATATTATAATTTTATTGTAAATACTTTTGGTCAAATTAAATATCAATTTGTGGTGTATATATTTTTCTCTTTGCTTTTTTTCTGGATGTTATTTTAAATGTGCTAACAAAATGTATGGACTTTTACCTAAGTATGTTTCTACCATTGTAGGAATTCTCTTTTGCTGATGGCAATGCAGCCAAGCTCAATAAATGAAAAAAATAAAAACATGATGTTTACAGTCAAATGCATCGTGTCAACAATTTTCAAAAAGCATCTGTGTATAATATATTTTTATAAAACAATTCAAATTATTATTGACTCATGAAAATTTGCAATGAACGCTAAACACCCAACTGATCCAGGAAGCAATGTCTCAAAATTTACTGGATACGATCCTAAAAAGTAAGCTTATATACTAAAGTTACAAGTGCTTATTTTTCTAATATTGTTTTAGGTAACTTTTTTTTATTCACATATTTCCAAAACAATACATACCTACGATTTCTGTTGAATAATTAAAACTAGTTTTCTGTTTAAAAAAATCCAGCTCCTTTTTCACCCTTAAAGGTCAAAACACACAGAAGCCGGAGACGGAGCGGAAAATGGATTTAGGACTCATTAGACATTTTTATAAACTTTCCCCACCAAACACTGGAGCTAACACAAAGGAGGCACCAAAACGCCTCCGCTATGCCACCGCTCCGGCACGCCTGGCAGTATGTAAACACCCTCAGCGCGACCGCCACGCCTGACACTGTTCTCGACTGCCACCGCTCCACCTCCAGCTTCTGTATGTTTTGTCTTTTAGGGTGCTTTCTAAGATAAAAAACTATCTTATGTCCTTTCCTGGGACTCAAACAAAATGTATATCAAACATGTAAATCGGTGCGGTTTAACTACAGTTACCTGTTCGGATGTAGGGTTCAGTTTAGAGAAATGCTGAGATATCAATACATTATATTGATTTTATTATTATAACAACAAAAGGACAATGTTAAAATTGGCCTAGGAACCAACATTAATTTCGCATTTGTGATAATTCTTAGTATATTTTTTGCGATAATTATCAGTATTTAGATTGTGACGGACACTTCCAGTTAAGTAAGCTAAATTAAAAAGTTAAAAAATAATCTGAGACAATAAATACCATTTTATGTGTATAATCTATGGCAGCGCTGCAAACAAAACACTCTTTCTTCCTAATGCCGGCACTTCACTTAGCTATTCGTATTTGCTATTTTAAAACATGACATCAGTCTGTCCTTTTCATTCCTTATAAAGCATGACAAGGACAAACTGTTGTCAAGTGAATGGCTGGCATTAAACTCGTTACTCTATGGTTGTGGTGCCTGCAGTTTGCATTCGTAGTAATCTGTGGCATTCGTGCATTCCAAAGAGTAATCCGAAACGTTGTTGTGTGTGTTTATTTGCGATTGTTTTTCCTTTAATTTAACTATTTCGGCTATCTAATATGCCATCGATGTTACCAAAGAGCAGAGCCCTTATTACCAAGTGCTAGTGAACCTGTGCCACAACATCCTGAGAGGATCATACTGCCAAATTATTCAAGAACACCTGATACACATTCACGCTGCATATTTACACAATGGTACCAATTCTGGCGTGATTCTCTAAACTTAAAACTAAATTTAACATCAGTCTCTCCTTTTCATTCTGTATAGAGAATGACAAGGATATACTGCTGTCAAATTTAAGTTTAGGTTTAGAGAATCATGCTAGAATCGACACCACTATACATGTGATATACAAATAAATACAATAAACAATATGATACAATTATGTGAAAAATAGTCAATAAACAAGAAGCAATACTACAGTTTTTATTTTATTCATGATTCCTACCTAACCAAGTTTTTCCTAATAGTTATTCTTTAAAATCGCACCGAATAAAATGAATTAGTTGTAATATTAATTCACTTCATACTGAGTTCATACTAAATTCATAGGTTGACCTATGTTTCATTGAATATTAAACATAACCCCAAAAAAAATTAGTTTTACTAATAATTCTAGTTCTCAGAAGTGTCCGTCAATAATCTTTGTTTTTACAGTCATTTACTTACGATTTTGAACCTAGAAAATAATATTTCATGATTGTTGGTTCTTAGGCTAACTATGTATGGAAGCTGAACAATGTCCTTTAATTTCTACACTCGACTTCCAACAATAGACTTCTTCGTGTGCCAAAGCGCAAAAGAGGAGGATGGTTGGCGAGGACAACTATTTATATTTCTAACCACCGAGAACATTCTATGCAAGAGGGATCAGCTTCAATACCAAATAAGCCTCTCAATATTATTTCTAGAAAATATTAACGCTACAGTGGCGTTCAGTTGGTAGTTCGTTCAATCGAGAAAATGCATTTCGAGGTGGCTCTTTAATATTATTGAAAGAAGAGACATTGTGAGCCTTTCGGTTGAGCGAACAATAAAAATTGCCTGTGTGGAACTGGACTGGCTTGTTGTATTGAGCGTATACAGATCTCCATCAGCATTGTATGATTGTTTTGAAGATATCATGGAAGAAGCTCTTAAGAAAACTTACACTACAGGCAAACGGTTTATTTGTCTGTGGTGACTTCAATATTGATTTATCAGAAAAATCTAGCTTGTGCACTAAAATGAAAAAAATATTGCAATCATACGACCTGGAAAACTTATTCATTGACCCTACTAGAATAGCTGCCACTTCGGCCTCTTGTATTAATAATATATATACAGATATTATACCATAGAAAAAACAAATTATTAATAAACTAGATAATGTTCATTGTGGCCAGTTGATTACATTTCCGGATCAGCTCAAGCAGGTGGCAAAAAAACACATCACTGTTTTACCAAATCTGCTAATCGTGTGGAACGTTGTAAAAATCAATTAGATAGAAAAATATGGTATTAAAATGTAAAGACAGTCCAAATGATTTATATAATGATTTTATTTTTAATATATACTGCACTGAATTTAATAATAAATGTGTTAATGATGCGGTAACGTTTAGTAAGTGGGCTACGCCTGGAATTAATAAAAGTAGAAGAACACATTATGAACTTTATATTGAACGAAACTGTAACCCTATTGAAAATTTTAAAGAGCACGTTTGTAACTATTCCACATTGTTTAAAAAGTATGCCGCTTAGCAAAATCTGATTACTTAAGTTCAAAGATTAAGAACAGTAATGAAAAAATTGAAGTTGCTACAGCATTCGAAAATTTCTTTATATATTATATTCCAGTTCCAACTACAAAATCTTTGAACTCTTCCCCCATTGCTGCCAAATCAATCTTAAGAGAAAACGTGAAACCTTGTACTAGTCATTTTCATTTTAAACATGTTGACTTTGAAGATGTAATAAAACGTTTAACCAATTAAATAAAAATGATAAATTTAAAAAATCAAAAAACCCGACTGCTAAAATATTACTTGAAATAAAAACTGAAAATAAAAAAACAAGTCCAGTAGGTAGTCTATAATCCTGTTAAGTAAGGAACAAAGCTACTTTAATAGCCGGGACCCATTACATATTCAAGTATAGATAAAAAAAAACAATAATGGGTCCCGACTGTTAAAGTAGCTTTTATAGACTACCTACTGGACTTGTTTTTTTATTTTTAGTTTTTATTTCAAGTAATATTTTCGCAGTCAGGTTTTTTGATTTTTTAAATTTATCATTTTTATTTCACACTTTTTAGTTAGGATAATAAGACGGTATATACCGCAGTCTTGTCACTTAAGTAAGTGAATTAATATCGCGGGAATTATTACGTACCTTGCGGTGGTCTATTACGATTGAATTATTAAGCCATAGAGTACTTTAAAGTAGGGTCAAGGCTACAGATGGACCTCATTTTTTGCAAAAATGTGTTAAGTTAAATCAAGTCGTTACCTATATATCTAATGAATGTAAATTTTATAGTTAACTATTACTGATTCAAAAAGTCATCTTTTGCTTAGGTTGTTTTTAGTAGTTTAGTAAGAAATTGAAATTCGTTTACTTTTATCTTATCTAAAATTGGCAGTGGCTGCATTGTAATGTCAACGTCCGGCTCTAAGATTATGATATACACAAATACAGTGTCATATCCTAGTCTCATAATTTGATATACCTACATAATTCACAGAAACCAAATATTTAGCCGCCAGAGGTTAACTTAAAATGTTGTTGATCACCCTATATACAATACCATTCAATGACGTTAATGTCGCAGGTTGACGAAAGCAACAATCCCGTCTGTTGTTTTGGACACTGGTGGCAACTGCCTTAGATCGCTAAATTAAATAATTATGCAATCACCAAAGCAAAGTTTATAATATATAAGTTATATATAAGAATAAATAAGTATGTATAAATTACCGAATAACGAATCCCTGTTTACCAAAAATGCTAAATCATTATTACAAATATAATCAAATTAACCTATTACTTACTTTATTTCGAAATCTTTTTCATCAATTAAATATTATTATCCTAACTCTCTATACTAAAATTATAAAGAGGCAAGAGTTGTATGTTTGTAACAAAAATAATCTGTCAAACTACTGAACCGATTTCGAAAATTCTATCATCATAAGGAGGCTACATTCTTTTTTATTATATTTTCAAGCATTAATCTCAATATCATTGATGAATCTGCTCGATTTATAAATCTAAAGAAAACTTTTAGTTGAAAAAAATACACTGACTACTTGGTCGAGAGGAAATTTTTGTAGTTTTTTTTTTTATAACTTTATTTTATCCGAGTAACATAGGCTACATTTACAAAATTAATTTGGTCCGTGCAATGCCGTGCAGTGGATCTCTAGTAAGTATAGGTTTAATATAATATTATAGATGCGAAACTGAGTTTGTTTTTTACGCTTCCGCGCCCTAATAGCTAAATCCCTATAGAAATAGATAGTTCTAAGCTACAATATCGCAATACTGAACATACCCAAACTACGTGACCCTTTTTTTCGTGTTTTTTGACCCCCTCCCCCCCCTCGGTGACCAAGCGTAGTATATGCCCAGACCCCCCCCCCCCCCCCCTAGTTTTCACGTAGTATATTTTATCAATATTTTTTGCGTAAAGTTACAAAATAATGGCTTTTGTTTGTATTTTCTTATACGGCCAATCCAATTCCAATAGGGAGAGTTGAAAGGTGAAGCGCGCGGGGGAAGTGATGTGGCCGAGGCATTTGTCAAAGTTGAAACAAAACATTGCGCGTCGTATAAGCTATAAGCGGTTAGTCGCTATAAGCGACGTCGTTATAAGTGAATTCTACTGTATTCTCATACCAGTCATACCGAAAAAGAGAATGTAAAAAAAAAATATTTTATGTCAGTATAGGCCGGAACTATACAAGCTAGTTCCGCATTTGAAATCATGAAAAAAATGTTTGCAAAAGTATGAAGAATCCGTGCAACAAAAAATTCAGAACACTAACCTTTACAAAGAAATTGAGGCGTCGTGCGCTTTTCTTAGTCGCAATTTGACAAAGCTCTTCAATTTTTAATAGTGCGAGACGCTCCAACTCCTTCGGATTTTTTTTGTATTGATCCCTTAATGGCACCCAAAATTCGTTTGTTTTTTTTTGGATTGCTTGCATCGACAAGGAATCCTTGTGACATTTTGTAAATGCACTGAATAGTCGATCATACAACGACATTATAGGTACCTAAAAAAATACCGAACTGCCGACAAGCGACGTCCACACTCTGCGATCGCTTGGGTCAAACTGACATGGCGGCCGGCAGTCGGCAGGCGTGCGCGTCGGCCGCCGTCAGCGATTCTCGAAAATTTTATAGTGATGTCGCGATACTGGACAAGTTTTATTGATGGGGTAATAAAAACGTGGCGTTCTTAAAAAAAAATTATTGACTACGTGACAAGAAACCAAACCCCCCCCCCCTCCCCCCGGTGACCATGAGTGGTACTTTGAAGACCCCCCTCCCCCCCCTAAATCGGTCACGTAGTTTGGGTATGTTCCCTTATAGGCGTAGGGTGATATGGAAGGGGTGATTTACCTATAATCATATTATTTTTATTAGATTACCTATAAAACTTTATGTTATTTACTTTGAATTTTGCAAAATTATCTATACTAATATTATAAAGAAAAATTTGTATGTAGTTAAGTATGTTTGTAACGAATTGGCTCAAAAAGTATTGGACCGATTTTAAATAATCTTTTACTATTTGAATGCTGCATTATCACTTTATATAGGCTATAGCGTATTTTCATAAAAGTTAGGGTTCTGTTTGAAAACTTCGATAATGTAACCCAACGTGTGTAAAAAATACCAAAACATAGCCTTATATCGCGTACGCTGCGGAAGTCATTGGCAATAGAGCAAAGTGATGTACTAAAGTTAAAACTTTAGAGGATATCAATATCTACAAAAAAAGTCTGCGATACCATATGTCTAACTATTACAGTTATGTCACAACTAGAGGTCAACTGCGGTCACTCGCGTTAACTTGAAGAAAAAGGTTTATAGTGAGTCAAACTTAAAATATTGACATAGGCTGTCGTGGACTTTTTTCAGAACGTTTAAAGGGGAAGAATTCCATCATACATGATTTTTATGTAACTTTAACCGTTTACCAAGGGCGCAATGGATTATTTTTACCCGTTTTTGCAACATTTTAATCGATGCTCCGCTGCTACTGGTCGTAGCCTGGTAATATATAGTATATAGCCTTCCTCGATAAATGCACAGTCCAATACAAAAATAATTTCTCAAATCTGAACAGCAGAGCAATGTTGCATTCGGTACAACGGGTCCTAAACTACGCAATGATTTTTTTTATTTGGAATGGATGGTTTATAATTATTATGAAGACAGTCATTGTGTATAATACAAGCCTTTGAACATAAACTATAATCTACACTACAGCTCTTCACTGAAGCAAAGCGAGGGAGGGCCACTAGTCGTATATAATTACAAAACCAAAATTATCGCGAACTAATTATTAATAAATACAGGGAGTCCATTAAATATGTACCTACTAGCGAAAAATTGGTTATTTCTCATTATGTTATGTTATGTTATGTAACCCTTTTTTTTGTAACATAAAGTAATATCGTTAACATAAACTTTAAAAACTTAATGTATGATTATTGTAAAAAAAAATGCATTTGGAAATGGACATAAATTTATACTTTATTTTAGATTCACTATTTTAGCGATCATGGCTAGCATATTAAAAAAAGATATATGGTGTCGCACACTTTCTTGTAGAACTATTTAAGAGATACATTTTCACTGTATATTATATTCATGTAACTTTTATTGTTTTTGAAGTGCGTGCTAAAATAGTTCGCAGATGGAAGATTTTTTTCCGCCTTACGTGACTCTTATTGTTATATTTTGGCCAATTCACTCAATGTCTACATAAATTGTTATCTGTATGGTATTATCGTGTATGAGCTGTATTATTGTAAAGTTTCATTAAAATCCATTCAGTATTTTTTAGGTGAAAGAGTAACAAAGATCCATACAAACGTAAGATTGAAATTAAAAGCGTAAGTGGTTAATATACAACTTTAAATCGTTGTAGATCCTAAACAGTCACATAAAATGAAAAATGGTGTAAGGAACCTAATCATGATTTTCGATTATCTAGACAATAATACCCCACTCGACATATTTCGTCAACTTATTTTTTTTACTTCGTCACAATATGGCGCCTAATTGTCACCATATTGAATTATGATTACTATCATATCTTTAGTAGCACTCCCATGATTAAGTCGAATCGATTGATGTATAAATCATCAAAATCGGTCCACGCGTTTGGTCTCTAGTGTGCCACAAAGGAACAAACATACATATATAGACTGTTAAACACTATACCCTGTCTGCGCGTCGCGCTTCGCGCTCTTGCATTGCGCAGTCGGGTAAAAAGAAAACCGCTGTTCTGTGGGGCAATTCCGTTGACGTTTCTAAATCGGTAATTGAGACATAGCTCCTATTCTAGCTTGCATATTTAATTATTGTGCTGACTGTGGTGTTTTTCCTGAGCTCATTAAAACCAGTGAAATAACTCCTTAGCATAAAACGGGAAATACATCAGACCCCACAAACCTTAGACCAATTTCTGTGCTACCCACCTTTACATTATTTTCGAAAAAATCATGTTAGATCATATGCGAACACATTTTAATTAATACTTCACTGTAAACAATTTGGTTTTACACGTGGCAGATCAACAACCGATGCCTGCGTTGAACTTATACAACAATTTTTTTACGCCTGGAAGAACTCGCAGGACGCTCTGGGTGTGTTTTGCGACTTGTACAAGGCTTTTGAGTGCGTTTTTCATGAAACATTACTCAGGAAACTCCATCACTATGGATTTAGAGATACTGATCTGGATCTTATTGCATCATACCTGAGAGGGATATGATTCAAAGGGTTGACTTTAATGGCAATAAGTTATCTCTTACATAGTAAAGTTAGTCATTAATTTTAGTTAAAAATAAGAAAGGACAAGATTTGAGCCCTGCGGAACACCCATCTTAATCAGCGAACCCTCTCATCTCTTACATAGTAAGGTTCGTCATTAATTTAAGTTAAAAATAAGAAAGGACCAAGAATTGAGCCCTGCGGAACACCCATCTTATCGCTGGTTAAGATGGGTGTTCCCCGGAGATATAATATATATAATGTAAGAGATAACCGGGTGTGCACCACTGGGAGAAAATGTGTTTATCGTATTTTCTCGACGATTTTAAAATACTCCATCCCATCCAAAATCGGTCGAGTTAGTTTCGCAACGAACCTTAATAGAATCGTCGCATGAAGTTGCTTGTTATCAGACATGTTAGTTTAACGGTAAAAATATGGCGGGAGTAAGGTAGGATTCTCTAAAGAGACTATCGAACGAAGATATTTTCGTGTTGCTGTTACTCGCGACGGAACTTTCGAAAGATTTGAATCAACCTAAAGAAAGCCAAAAATTATTTTACTCCACTCCATTTACTCTTCTTTGCTCTTTTCTCGGATCATCATGCCGGAATGGCCGAGTTTTTATAGAGGTACCTGTTGCAGTTGCACCAGCTTTTTCCACATCTTTACTTCACTCTTACTTTAGAGGACCTAATATCATAAAAACGATGATTTTTATGAATACCATATCGAATACATAAGTACATATCAATGTAATAAAATTTAATAATTTATCCTAATAATATCATCTTCTTTATCCAGATACGCAGTTACCGATGTTTCCCTGACAGTGCGCACAGATGACAGTCTGACTCCCGGTAGACCACCATGTTTAACACAACAGACCATCGGGAAGTACTTACAACCTTTGACCAGGGAGCTGTCTATGATACCACCGGCGTACGTATCTTAAATGGCTTATATTTCACCTATAAATGCAAACCGATGGCGTAGCTTTTTGACATTCTCAAGAACTTTTTTAATAAGTATCTATTTAATTGGTGCAGAAAAATATTTTTGGACAAAAATCAAAAGCCATCGAAAACGTGGGTTTTGTGAAGCAATCAGCATTATGCTAGTAAAATGAACCAGTAGCGCTTTATTATCCTATATTAGTAATTATAGAATGCATTTGATTGGCAATCAATCATTGATTAATATATTTTTAAAGAAAACAACCTTGTGTATAACCTACCTACCAATGAACCGAAGATATTAACAGACAGTCTTTTATTTATTTAAAATAGCTACATCAGCTATACCTTTTTTCCGTCAGGAAAATGCGTGACGCATACCCCACCCCGCCACTGTGGCAACGGGGTTATGTGGGACTTCTCCCGACCCGTCCTGCTCGTCCGCTCAGCCAGTCCTGGGACTGGCTCAGCGACCGCCCAGGGGCGGGGGGGGCGGCTACCCACTAAAAATCTGTCGATGCCCCACGGTCCCACCAGCGTGGTTGAGACAACGGCACTAAATGAGGCCACGGGAACCCTTACGGAATCTTCAGCGACCTGACCAGTGCGCGTCCGAGTCGAACGGACACATCCGTCTCCCCCCGGAAGAGGGGAGTGTTGGGGATGCCCCGGAGCATCGTGAGCTTCCCCAGCCATCAGCAAAGACCCGCAGGCTTCTGCCGGAGAGAGCCTGAAGACGAAGGGGGTTCCCCCGTCTCCTTGCCCTCACCCTCCTACGTCGGACATCAGATATCCTACCATTATATGAATGAATTTCAACCACTATGATTATTTTACCCAGTATAAGCATTCTCCATAAAAACACCATAGTTGTGTCTATAACATTTGAGTTTTAGTTTAGACGCTTAAAAAATTGTGGTAGGTGCGTTTGAGCAATCCAATTACATTTAAGAGTATATGTAATTGGATAGCTATCAGATTCACAATTCCATGCAAGAGCTCTATCGAAAACTGTCTTCGGTTATATTAATTTGAGTTTCACGATTCCACCCGTAATGACAGACAAACAAGAAAGTAACAAACAAAATAAAACAAATGACAAATAAAAACGTGATATAAATTTAAAATCAACTTAAACTCAAATATCACCAGACAGGAATCTAACCATCGGGCGTCTTCTTTCAGTGTGACTATTGTTCCATAGTATTCAATAAGCAGCTTTTATAGATACATTGTATTCTGATAAACCGGACTTTCGCGTGGATACGTACGCATTCCTAATGCTTATTCTACTTACTGCTTACATCCCCTTGCTATATACGTACGATGTACCTGGTCTATGCTAAGGCCTCAGTAAACTACTAAGCAAATAATATTTTCAACAGACCGACGATAGATGAATTGCCTGACGAAGTCATCAACCAAATGGTTTTGAAGGACAAAGCATTCTGGGTGGACAAACCAGGAGCAAACGCATATACCCTTCACGATGCCTACTACAACTACGGCATGACCACGGAAATAGTTAAACCACGTAAGATATAATGTACTCGTATATTTATATTAGGTCTTTACCTATAAATTTCGTTTCTCAGTAAATAAGTTAACGGCCCTTTTTTCTATATTTTTTATTTATATTAATCGTAGTGGAAGCTTTTGATGCCCTTTTTGAAAAAGTCTGCAGTATGAGGTCGAGAGGCAACAAATTCTTCAAAGACATTTTGATTGTTATTGACTTTTTTCCCGCTAAGAAGTATCCAAATTCTGAAAAAAGTAGAAGTCTGTAGAGGAAGGTCTAGTGAGTACGGTAGATAACGGAGAACTTGCAACGCCAGCTCTTGTAACTTAGAGACCGTCTGCTGTGCAGTATGAGGTCGCGCTTTGTTGTGCAGGAACAGCGGAGCCTAACGATTGACCAAAGCTGGTTGAAGATGTGCGAGCTTCTCCATCATTGTGTTCAGTTCTTCACAGTACACATCTGCAGTGTTTGGTAAGAAGCTGTGACACCGCAGTAGATCACCAAACAGTGACCGTTACTTTTTAGGTGTCCGTTTTGTTTGAGGCATTGTTTTGGTGCTGAACCAGGATCTAACCAACTTGCTGAGCGCTTGTGATTGTCCACTACCCTTAGTAAGTCATCATCAGAACCTACTAACATACTTTTTGCATTAATACTTCGACGAGGGATAAACAAAACACCCAACCAAAAATAAACAAACGCAGTATGTATTTAATAACAAATAATATATCCTGGGACATGTTCACTATATGTCTTTTCTTCTGTAATAGTTAAGAGATATATCTCTTTTTTTTTAGAAATTTTCGTTCGAATTGGAGCGCCCATCAATAAAATAACGCTACCTTTTGGTTATGTTGTGTTTCTGTCGGTGAGTAAGGTCCCAGGGCTTCAAGAGATAGAGAATTGGGTCAGGATAGGTAATGGTGCGAGTGATAGCGCAAGCTATCAGGCCTATCCTAAGCTATCAGGGTGATCCTTTAGGCTATGGTGGCCGCTTACCATCAGGCAGGCCATATGCTCGTTTGCCATCATTTTAACATAGAATTACTTTTCTCCCGTCTAAATATACTATTAACTTTGTGTTTCTAAAAAATCATATGAACCTGGATATTTTTATGCCTGACATCCTCAATAACAATCAATATAATCAATAAAAGAGCAGCGCTGCGTGAGGTGGGTCTCCCGTCGCAGCGCTCTCTATCTAAATTTATATTATTGGTCTTTACCTATGAAAAAGCCGTTTTTCATGCAATAAGTGAAAAAATTGTTACTTTATTTTTTATTTTTAATAATCTAATCACCCATGGAATAAAGGCATTTTTGCCAACGTACTGTTATATCTGATATATGTTAGGTATATTGCTGCTCCTACTGACCATTATGTCTGGTCAGCACTATAGAACTCAAGCCCTAGTCTCCTCGGTTAGCATCCGACAGTCCGTGTCCATCCTCCATTCAGTGCGGTTGCCTAAAGATCGTTTTAACGTCTTTATCCGATAAATCTATATATTTCTATTGTTCTTAAAATAAAGTTTAAGTGTGATTAAAATATTTTTTTTTTAAAACCATTCGCGATTATCCGCGTAACAAATTGGTGGCAGCGGTGGGATCCGAAAATTCCCAGTGCCCAGGCGCCGTGTCACGGACTCGCCCCGGATTCCTATCATAAACAATCTATAATTCTTATCCTGAAAAAAACTCACCTTATGTTAGTGAAGAAAACAAGTGTCATAAATAAAACGGATCGTACTATTGTTGAAGTGTTGTGCTACAAATTCATCCAGATCCTCGAAAGGATAATTTCGTGCTGAAAAGAAGAATGAATTGCATCCTGTACCGCAATTTCTTACCTGCTCTACGAAGTTTCCCCGAGCCACAACCTGCAAGAAAGACATCACGAGATAATTACCTGGCCTTTATCTCACTACGTGACTGTTCATCGAGGTATCCTGAACCTGAAAACCAAAGTATAACTCAAGTTATTATTCAAGAACATTCAAGCCCGTACGGAGTCGTACTACAACGTCCTTATCGCATCGGAATGTTCCTGTCCGCCGTCGCGTTCTTATCGGTCGCCCATGCAACTTTTGTACTGTAAGTCTTTGGTCATTGTCTAGACTAAGTTAAATTAAATATTCAGACCTATAAATTATAGACATTGTTAATGTTAATAAATATTGTTAATAAATTATAGAAATTATAGACATTGTATTTCGTTTATCGCTCTATATTAACAAATTGTTTATTGTGAATATTTTTTGATGCTTAACAGTTCCAATTGGTTATTTTAAATTTGAGTTTTAATAATAAGCTATGCCAAGAGGTTCAAACCCCGAAGAACAAAGTGTGTTTTTCGAGATTCCCGAGCCAGAGCTGTTTTCCGGTAACGCCGGCGCGAAGTCACCTCAGCTTTCACTTCGCATCACGAAAAACCGCTGCAGCTCTCACAATGGCCGAACTCGAATTAAACATTTTATTCAAATTTGTCAAATCTTATGATGGCAGCAGGGAATCTCTCAACTCATTTCTAGTAAATTGTGATAATGCATTCAATCTTGCATCAGACGCACAGAACCCTATTTTATTTAAGTTTATCCTCAGTCAACTCCACGGGAAAGCAGATATCGCTTGCTCCATAAAAGAGTTTACATCTTGGGAACAGCTCAAGGACTTTTTGAAAACACAATTTAGCGAAAGAAAACATTACTCACATCTGCTTACTGAACTCAAGACAGTGTTAGCCAGTATGCATTGCGCACTGAGACCTGCCTCTCGCAACTATTAACCGAAATATCACTTTCGAATACTAAGGCCAAGGAATTAGTTGGCCGTACCGCAGCCATGAAAGACCTTGCTCTTCACCATTTCGTAATGGGGCTTCACCCCCGAATCTCTAATATTATTAGATGCAAATCTCCCAAGTCGTTAAACGAGGCAATCAATTATGCCATTTCAGAGGAACGTATACAGCAGACGCTATATAGACGTCCACAGCAAGACCAAAAACCAAATAATAACAACACTAACAAATTTAGGGCCGGTCCTCCTAAACCAAATCATAATTCATCTATTAATTCATCTTTTAATTCACAAAGACCATCTAACCCCACATCACAAGGGGCTTATAATGTATATTGTCGCTATTGCAAGATACCTGGCCACGATATCTCAGTGTGTAAAAGACGCGAATATAATAACAATCGCTTTAGGGTCCAGCAGAACCCAACTAATAATAACCCTTACCAATCCTCGCGAGTGAATTTTCTCCAACATCCCGAACAAGAGGAAGGCCGCGACGAAGTTGATTCCTCGGCCGATCCTTTAAACGAATAATGGGCTCACGGAGGTGTCTCGCGAAGCCCAATCCCGTAATCCTGACTCAATCATATATATCCAATGACACCGTTTCTAAATCCAGGGACCACACGGGTAACCAGCCCCAAATAAGTGCCCTATCTCCTAAATCCAGGGACCACACGGGTAACCAGCCCCAAATAAGCGCCCTATCTTCTAAATTTAGGGTCCACACGGGTAACCAGCCCCAAATAAGTGCCCTAATCTCAAAATCCAGGGACCACACGGGTAACCAACCCCAAATAAGCGCCCTATTCTCAAGATCCAGGGACCACACGGGTAACCAGCCCCAAATAAGCGCCCTATTCTCAAAATCCAGGGACCACACGGGTAACCAGCTCCAATAAGCGCCCTATTCTCTAAATCCAGAGACCACACGGGTAACCAGCCCCAAATAAGCGCCCTATTCTCTAAATCCAGGGACCACGCGGGTAACCAGCCCCAAATAAGCGCCCTATCTCCTAAATCAAATCAGACCAATCGACAGGGTAACCAGCCACAACCCGACCATATTACCCAATCAAATTCGAATAACTATACTAAATCAAATCCTAAAGTCTCAATCTTATCCGAAGAAATTATTAAAGTATACGAAGTGAACATCGACACAACTAAAAGATTGCTACCACATGTGCTGATGGATTCACAAGCATCAGATATCCCACTATCCTTACTAGTCGATTCAGGCTCTGCTATATGCCTACTAAAAGATTCCTGTATCAAAAATAAAATAAAACTCGTCCAAGAGTCAATTAAACTCAAGGGTATAGATCCCCACGATGAACCAACCCAGACTGAAGGTCATCTCCAACTTAAACTAAATCCAATAAATAACAAATCTATATCATTTAAATTCCATGTCGTCAAAGACATTGATTTACCCTATGACGGCATCATAGGCTCAGACTTCCTTACTGCCTTTGGTTGCAGAATCGATTATCCCCATGATGTTTTAAATTTAGGCAAATTCGCCATAAAACTCCACTTTTCCGAACCTCTCTATATCATTCCACCACGTTCAGAGACTGTAATCCAAATGTACCGTCCAAAATCCCGATCACCTAAAGGAAGGTATGATCATAGATCAACATCTGTCGGAATCCTTACTAGTAGCAAACTGCCTAGTCAAAGTAAAAGATAATAAGAGAATTAATATTACAGTTGCAAACACATCCGAGCTACCCATTAAAATCATCGCTAATCAAAACTTCAAAATTAAACCTATAAATTCATGTGCCGTACATTTATCCTCAAACTTTAAAAATGCTTCCGATCGCACAAAAGAAGTAATCAACACTCTCAGGCTGTCTCACTTAAACACGGAAGAATACCTTTCATTAACGGAACTATGTTCCCAATACTCCGACATTTTCTATCTCCCCAACGACCAGTTAGCATATACTACAGCGCTTGATCATAAAATTAAAACTAATATAGATGTTCCCATCCATACAAAATCCTATCGATTCCCAGAGTACCACAAGAAGGAAGTAGAAACCCAAATTAACAAAATGCTTGATCAGAACATTATTGAACCCTCTTCATCTCCATGGAGCTCTCCCATTTGGGTTGTACCGAAGAAGCTAGATGCCCAGGGACAACGAAAATGGAGAATAGTTATTGATTACCGGAAATTAAACAATATCACAATCGCAGAGACT